TCTGAAGTCTAGAAGTCTATTTTCATTGTGAATTTAAATAACTGAAGAATAGTGTGGGACACTTTTTAAATGTAAAACCCACAAGCCAAGTAAATTTCTATTCATTGACATCTGCATCCAGACATGATTGGACATCCATGGTTGGCATATTACTCAATTTTTAACAGTATTTGAGAATTTATTTCTCATCTTGTGAACGATAGCTATATTTTCTGGAGATTTTCAGATCATTAATAAATTTGAATTTATTAGCTCAGAATGTATGGTTGTAGTGACAGTGAAATTGTTAGAATCACTGTCTAAACTGATAGCAACTTCTGTTGTCCTCATGTGCATAGTTAAATGAGGAATCCAGAACTTGCTGTCAATGATATCTTGCTCTTCCACAGATTGTACTGCTGTAGCTTATGCACATATAATCAGCACAGAAGCAGTGCGGTTCTCTGGCCCTAAAAATATAATTTTGGAAGTGGAATATGTAGAACATGCCTCAATTTCTAATTTCCTGTTATATATTCCATGTATTCTTACAATAAAAATAAAACAAATTATGATATTTCAGCAACCATTACTCTGTCACCCTGGCTGCATATACAAGTGACAGACAGGGCAAAATAATTCCACAACCAGATCTAAGCTCCGCAGTCTTGCCACATCTACTTGGGAACGATGGTGGACAATTTAAAAAACTCACTGGAGATGTGATTAAAAACTGGGCTAGCCATTCACCACCAGCTCTGGCTTGACCACATGAAGCACCGTGAAGCATTGTTCCTGTCTGCAAATACTGCTGACTAATCCAGGATCATCCTGGGAAGCAAATACAACTTTTTGGTTTATGTTCTTTACTATTAGTTGTCACACTGAACTGCTTTCCAAATCATTTCCATCCTCATCTCCAATAACAAATATGAGGAACTCATGGACTTCTTTGTGACCAAGATTGAGATAATTCAATTAGCAACCTCTGCCATTTCTTCCTTTTTCCACCCTTCATATATAATGTATAGACTAAGGTTTGGTGTCTGCAACTGGGGCATTGAATAATAATTTGTGCACATATAATCAGGCCATTATTGACATTGATGGGTGGTTTGATCTAGGATTAGGAATTTAACATTTGTAATGTTTCACTTTATGAATAAATCTAGAACAGAGTAAGGATGGACTTCAGGTCTGTTCCTTCACCAACTAGTTATTAGATGATTAACACATGACTGGTCTAAACATCCTCTAAAGTCCCCCATTCTCATCCTAAAATCATATCTCTAGTTTCTCTCCTATTACCCCTCATGTCCTCCTCAAACTCAACTTGTCCATTAGAGGTACTTGCTCCTGTTGATGATCAGCAATTTAGTTTGAATAGGGTCATCTTCTTCCAATGTCTCACCACATTCATCTAGTTGGGTGGGATTGCTCTCAATATTATCTATCTAATCATAGTCAAGAGTGTCTCTTCCCTTGGTTACATCATTTGAAAGCACACTGTCAATTCTCATTTTAACACTGACAACATCAAACTCTACTTCACCACCATCTCTCTTGACTCTATTATCTCTAAACTATCATACTGCTTGACCAATATTCAATACTGAATAAGTAGAAATTGCTTGCAGTTGAATCTTGGGAAGCCCAAAGTCATTGCTTTCATTTCCTGCACTAGACTTCGTTCCTTGGCCAGTGACTCCTTATATGTCCCAAGCAGCTATATGAGGTTAAACTGAATTGTTCACAACCTGGTGCATATTTGATTTGAGGAGATGCTGATCATATATCTGGTCCATCACTAAGACCACTTATTTCTACCTGTGTAACATCATCTGCCATCACCCCGACTGAGTTCACCTGGTTCTGAAATTCTTATTTTGCCTTTGGCACTTCCAGAGTTCTTCTGGCTGATCTCCCACAATCTACACTCTGTAAACTCAAACTCATCCAAAAACATGCTACCTATGTCTTAACTTCCATCAAGTCCTGTTCATCCACCACATGCTAAATGACCTACATTTGCTCCCAGTTAAATAAAGCTTCCATTCTGAAATTCTTATCCACATTTTCAAGTTATTCAAGACGCTCACCACTCACCGATGTTCCGCACCAAGTTGTGTGGTGACACAGCTGCTCCATGATTCCTCTAAAGTTCGACACAAAATAAATCGGCATGAATAGCTTTGCTGACACGTTGATTTCTCCTTCAGAATCCCCTGTCACAATCAACTTTGGAAGTCCACACACTGAAAAAGAACTCTACAGGGAATATTGCCCCTCACTATCTGTAATTTCCTCTAGGCTCAGAAATCCTCCGCGATATCTGTGCGTCTCTAATTCTGGTCTCGAGTATCCTTCATTGTGTCATCAGCTGCCAAGACTCTACATTCAAATTCTCTCTGTAAACTTCTCCAGTCTTCTACCTTCCTTTCTGCCTTTAAGATGCTCCTCAAAACTTACCTCTTTGTTCAAGTCTTTGATTATTTGACCTAATAACTCCTTAAAAAGCTCAATTTCATGTTTTGCTCTTTCACACTTATATGATGTCAAGGGATGTTTATTAAGTTAAAGTTAATACGTACACAAAATCTTGTTGCAGTGGTTTTATCTTTCTCTCATCTGTAACTCCAAATCTTTATTTCTCTCTCTTGTAAATTACTTAACAGGCAAATGATGTTCCGTGCTTTTTACTTCAAAGTTTTCTTGATAGGAGTCTTTTTTTCTATTTGATTAGCTGCTCAATCTGTTTGATGACTTCACTGATTCCAAACACCAGAGATCTCAGATGGCACAAGAATGAATTTGACTTTCTTAAAAGGGGAAATTGATGCCATAAGCTGCTAAATCCTTGCGGGCAGCTTTTTTCAATGTCCACAGAGAGAACCATCCTGTCATCACTGATTACAAATTCTGGGTTATTATATTTCTATAACACAGTCTGAGAATTTCAGTCATTAACCACCTCCAGAGGCTGAGTCAGTCTCATGTAGTACTGTTTCCCTATTTATTGCATCTATCAAATCACCTCCTGTGTGAAGATTGTATTACTTAGGTGATATTACAAATTTTAAAAACACAAATTAAAGGTTATTCCAGTAATTATACTTGCTAAATGTATTTTCTAATTATTGAACTAATCATTTTCTTTCCATTTCACAGTAATTAACAGTCACAGTAATTAATCATGTACAAATGACCAATTTGATCTTTTACAGGTGCTGAACTGGTATCAAAAAGTTCACTTGACCAGATTCATGAAACAACTTTATTCATTGTACTGCAGTCAGACAAATGTCATTTGTCAGCAAGTTCAATAACCTCTTCTTAGTGCTAAGTCAGGTGTCCAGACACTATTACATCTGAGCACCAAAAAATTGTGTTTCAATGAAGCATAAAGATGTCACACAGTGGCATGTCAATGACCTTTGAATCAAACATTTAAACTTCAGCTGTAAAGACTTTTTTCTAGTGCCCAGAATCTAATTTTTGTGGTTAACATTCTTATTATGAATGGTTTTTATAAATGATTTTACATTTAATACTTAAATATATTAGCCAGAATTATTCTTTGTACAGTTACAACATAAATGCTATAATATTCTTGTATTTGGTAATATATATGTATATAATTTATGAAAATTAATCCAGATGAGCACTTCAGAAAGTGTTCTGACAAAGAAGCTGTGTACAAAACATCAACTTGCATCCTGCTTCCAAGATTCCAATAGAGTCAGTTCACATTGACAGGCCACCTGTTGGTGAAGAGAAAAGCTAACATCTAAAATTGCTGCAGCCGGGTTCAAGCTGGAACAAGTTAAGTCGTTGAATTGAATTATACAAGGCACTCGGTTCCCTAGCCAACAACTCCCACTGATTCACTCTCAAGCAGCAGTCCCCACATCTAAAAGGCAATTGGCTGTTAATAAATGGAGTGGGAATTTTGCCTCTCAAGAACAGGAAGTCCTGTCTCAGAGTTACCAGCAGGTCTGCATTACTTTGGGACAGAAGTGCACCGTACTGATTGGGGATGGGAGATCTCTCCAGCTGCTAAACTGACAGAGCCTGATAGCAGGGGCAGGTATTTGGGATAGAGATTGGGATTGGGATTGGAATTGGAATTGGGACGAGCTGGCTTTTCATGTGTCAGTGTGATGGGAGACAACCTGGAGATGTGGTAAACCTTGAATCTGTCTTTTGATAGGCCAGGGGTCTACTAAGGAGGCTGCCACCAGGTGACCACTTGGCTGGTTAACTTCCAACCATGGTGGGATGAGGTCCATTAGTGGGAATAAATTGGACCCCAAGAGGCCTCAATTTGCCCACTGATAGACAGACTTCAGACAGGTTTTAATGAGACATTTTGCCTTTCAACTCACAGGCAAAGGAGCAATAAAAGCCAACCCAATATTCCTCGTGCTTAGGCCAAATTTGATTTAAAGAGGATATTTAATAGCATGTGAAATATTTTTTAAAAATACAGCTTAAATTGCCCCTTTCTTCTACTTTAGTCAATTAGTTCTGATTAAAGAATGAACAATGAGCAATTTGTGCACATAATTCAGGAAAGCGAATGGTGTTAAACATGTGCACTTGAACTTCATTAGTTTCAGAACCAATTCTAAAAAAATGCAATTCTGCAATAATTAAACACTAAAAAATGTGAAAAAGGTTAGTTTAAAACAGAATTTATTACGAGTGCAAACATTAAAACTTGGATCATATTGATCTTTAGTACCAGTATCTAGATCATTTTTACACACATCCCCTGTCCAAAGAACTGTTTTAAATAGTCTATACCAGTGCAGTTCTCTGGGCCATATAACATGTACTCAAATCTTCACACTAAGTGAAAGAAAGATTTGCACTTGTACAGCAGAATAAAAAAAAGTGTATGTGCATATAAACCAGTATAAAAATCCTTGAGAATTAATCCAATTAACAGTTACTATTTAGTCATGATCACTTCTGCAAGTACCTACTTAAACCATACTTGTTATTTATACTATACTCACCCAACACAAGGAGTTCCATTCTTTGTTCACTGTTACCCACAATGTCATCTGGAGTGATAACAGAGCAGTAATAAGCCCCACTATCTCCCCAGTGTAACCTTCCAATCTGGAGATCTGCATCTGTAAGAGACCTATAATTAATAGATAATTGACCTGGACAACACAAGGGGCCAAACCTCACTCTACAAACATGCAATGCTTGGTCATTAATGTCATTTTACCATGTGCATTTCTTGTTCACATCAACAAAATTCAACTTAGAAAGATTACTGCAGATACAGAAGCCAATTTTGTAATATCACAAATGGTGGCAGACAGCTGCAATCAATTGCAATTTGAAACTCCCAGCAGACTGAAAATCAGGAGCATTTTAAAGTTTCAAATATGATGTTTTGTGAAAGTGATTAAATTAACAGCAGTTCATCTGACGCAAATCAGTTACACTGTCAAACAAACAGGCTATTGTGCACAATCACGCATTCTACACTCATGGTCAGGGCACACTGCATTGTCAAAATTTATGCTCCCAATTTTTGTAGTAAGAGAATATATTTATATATGTTTGGTATTTTTTATTCATTCATGGGATAGAGGCATTGCTAGCTGGGTCAACATTTATTGCTCGTCCCTCATTGCCAATCAGAAGGTGATAATGACGTGCAACCTGTGTGTTGATGTCACAGGTATGTTATTGAACAAAGGAGAAATACGTATAACTGGACATAAAAACCAGCACAATATTAAACACAAAATTCCAACCAGTATCACTACATTCGCGAAGATGCAGATGAAATGAACAACAAACATTGGACTTCGCTGGTTAAACATCAGCAAAGAGGAGAAACTAAATCTGTACACTTATTCCAGAATGCAATTCCAGTAACATGAGGGAATTAGAAAATAAATATTTCTCCCCTCTTCCCACCATGCATGTGTGTCACTTGATTGTTTAGCTCTTGGAGTAAAATTATTATTCCAAACTAATTGAATGATGTTCTCTTTCAGACTTCACGGTGGCTCAGTGGTTAGCACTGCTGCCTCACAGTGCCAGGGATCTGGGTTTAATTTTACCCTCGGGCGACTGTCTGTGTGGAGTTTGCACATTCTTCCCATATCTGTGTGGAGTTTCCGCCAGGTGCTTCAGTTTCCTCCCACTGTCCAAAGATGTGCGAGTTAGGTGGATTGGCCATGCCTAATTACCCAGTGCTCAGGGATGTGTAACTTAGGGATGTCAGTCGTGGAGGTTTGCAGGGATGGGGTAGGGGGATGGGTCTGGGTGGGATACTCTTCCGAGGGTGAATTTGGACTTGTTGGACCAAATGGCCTGTTTCCTCACTGTAGGGATCTAATTCTAATTTGTCACTCAATCTTACTAACTAGTTTCCATCATAATCTGTTTCCACGATTTGAAACAATGAAGCAAATATGTGCTGAAGATTTACATTATATTTTACAGAAAAAATAACTTGAATTATTTATGTGTCCCCAACCTTTGCAGCCTCCCTTTCTCCCTTCACCTTAACCCCTGTGGATCTAGAGGAGAATCTCCTCATTGTTTCCTTCAGTTCAACTCATGGGGCTGACTTTTCTCTGATTGTTTGCTGTTAGGAGTGTATTTTCCAGGGAATTTTGAACACAGGTTTGCCCATCACCTTGTATATTTTGAATGTTCTACTGCATCCTCATACATTTAGCATTGCTACAAGCCTCACAGCCATATTCCATTACAGCCATTCAACCACATCAACTAAACATATTGTTCAAAACTCTCACAATAATTAGCTCAGATATTGACATTGCATGTATCATAAAGAACATCACTGGAACAGTATCTAAATGTAGTGAAACATCACTCATAAATCCCCACATGTACTCCTATGATTACAATTTTTACATGTGAGTATCTAAGGGTTCAATTTTGAAGTATAAACAAATTAGGGTCATAGATTCCTGATGCTGTTAGCAGGCTTCCAGAATCAGCAATGAACAATGATATTCTTCTTGACTTACAAGTGGATAGTGTTGAATCCAAGTTAGAAAATAGTCTCCAAATTGATCTCATTCATTTTGGTCATTGCCAAGAAGAGCAGTTTCTGGAAGCTATGTCTGATGATGTCCAGCTTCAGCAACTCAAGAAGATCATCATCAGCGAGTGGCCGGACCACATCCAAGTGCTCCACGTGCAAACATATTCTTCCTAGTCATTTAGAGACAAACTAGGTCTCTCTACAAATGTTATTTTCAAAGGCAAAATGTAACAATTCCATACACTATAGGAAGGATGTTATTAAATTGGAGAAGGTTCAGAAAAGTTTTACAAGAATGTTGCTGGGACTGGAGGGTTTGCGTTATAAGGATAGGTTAGATAGACTGGGACTTTTATTACTGGAGCTTCGGAGTTTGAAGGGTGACCTTATAGAGGTTTATAAATTCATGAGGGACATAGATAAGGTGAATAGCAGAGGTCTTTTCCCTAGGGTGGGGGAGTTCAAAACTAGGGGCCATATTTTTAAGGTTAGAGGGGAAAAATTTAAAAGGGACCTGAGGGGCATCCTTTTCACACAGAGGGTGATTTGTAAGTGGAATGAATTGCCAGAGGAAGTGATAGATGCAGGTGCAGTTACAACATTTAAAAGACATTTGGATTGGTACATGAATAAGAAAGGTTTAGAAGGATATGGGACAAATGCAGTGAGACTAGTTCAGTCTAGGAAATTTGGTTGCATGGACTAGTTGGACCAATGGGTCTGTTTCTGTGCTGTATAATTCTATGGCAGGAGTTACTGAATGCATCCCATTTTCCAACTAATGTTCATTTCTGAATACTGATGACAGTGATGATTCATCTGGAAAGTGCAGCTACAGCTAAGTCCATGGCACCATGAGTATCTCAGCTGTACAGGAGGGTAACAAGGGAAACTTGAAGAGCAATAGTATAAGGTGATTCAATTGTTAAGGAAGTAGATAGCCCTTTTAGCTCTAGATGTGAATCCAGAAAAATATGTTGCCTCCCAAGTGCCAGGGTCAAGGTTGTCACTGAGCAGCTGTAGAGTGCCCTGAGCGGGGAGGAGGAACAGCCATCAGTCGTTGTCTACTTGGAACCAATGACAGTGAGAAAGAAAGATGTGGTCTTGCAGTCAGACCTTTGGGAGCTAGGTAGAAATTTGGCAAGTAGAATACTAAATTATTAATTTCTGGCTTTCTTCTTGTAGGATGTGCAAGTTTTTTTTATTCATTAATGGGATGAGGGCATCACTGGCTAGGCAGCATTTATTGCCCCATCCCACCTGGGCAGTTAAGAGTCAACCCCATTGCTTGGGCCTAGAATCACGTGTAGGCCAGACCAGGTAAGAATGGCAGTTTCACTCCCTTAAGGGCATTAGTGAACCAGGTGAGTTTTTCCCAACAATTGACAATGGATTCACAGTCCTCATTATATTCTTAATTCCAGATATTTTATTGAATTCAAATTCCACCATCTGCCACAGCGGGGTTTGAACCTGGGTCCCCAAAGTATTATCTGGATCTCTGGATTAACAATCCAGCGCTAATACCACTAGGCCATTGTCTCCCCTAAGCATTTAAATAGGAGGATAAAGCAGATGATTACATGGCTTGAAAACCGGTGCAGAGGAAGGGTTTTAGATTCTTGGGACCCGCTTTGGAGAGAGATGGGACCTGTACAGGCCAAATAGTTTGCACCTAAATAGAGCTGCAATTGAGTTACATGTAGGCATTTTGCTAGTGCTGTTGGGCAGGGTTTAAACTAACTTGACAGGGATGTGCAAACAAGAAATAACAATCAGACAGGAACAGCAAGATGCATAGGATATTGAGAGATATGGATGGCACTAGAGTAGAGAATAGTAAGTTACTGATTGGGGCCAAAGTAAGGGAGAAAGTAATAATGTCTACATCAGCGTTACATGCATGTATGTGAATGCACTGAGTGTGGTAAATGAGATTGGTGAATTATAAGCTTAGAAAGCCATGTGCAAGTACAACGTTGTGGCCAATAACTGGTAAGGTAGGAACATGTACACAGAATTGGTTGAGTTAATAAGCAGCAAACAAACAGAATAGCAGTAAATCACTATATTCCCATATTAAAATCTTGGTGGGTGCCACTGACCAGAAGCACACTGTGAGCCATATGAAACAAATACTGTGATGACAATACAGGCGTGTAGTACACCTCCTGACTCCCCTTGCCTATCTGCTGTCAATAAGTCACAAAAACAAGGGTATACAATCCACTTGGGTGTGCGCAGATCCCACCACTCAACACAACTGACCATTAGCACCCCATCCACCACTTGCACATTGGCATCATGTACCAACTACAATTGTGCTCCACATCAACTCACCAACTGGCAAGCACAAACTCTGCCATTGAGGGCAAGGCAGCAGTAGAGGAACACCATCACCTGCACATAACCTTTCAAGATGCACCATTTTAAGCTCCTCTACTGGAAGCCTGTCTCCTTCCTCCTCTTTCTGGTCCTTTATGGAAAGAATCTGATTGAAGGGGCAGTATGGGTGAGAGGGAGCAGAAATGGAAATCTATAGGGTCCAGGGTGTACTAGCTAGATGGATAGAGAACTGGCTGGGCAACAGGAGACAGAGTGTTGTAGTGGAAGGGAGTTTCTCAAAATGGAGAACTGTGATCAGTGGTGTTCCACAGGGATCCGTGTTGGGACCACTGTTGTTGGTGATACACATAAATGAACTGGAGGAAGGAATAGATGGTCTGATTAGCAAGTTTGCAGATGACACCAAGATTGGTGGAGTAGCAGATAGTGAAGGGGACTGTCGAAGAATGCAGCAGAATATAGATAGATTGGAGAGTTGGGCGGAGAAATGGCAGATGGAGTTCAATCCAGGCAAATGCGAGGTGGTGTATTTTGGAAGATCCAATTCAAGAGCGAACTATACGGTAAATGGAAAAGCCCTGGGGAAAATTGATACGTAGAGAGATCTGGATGTTCAGGTCCATTGTACCCTGAAGGTGGCAACGCAGGTCGATAGAGTGGTCAAGGTGGCATATGGCATGTTTTCATTCATCGGAAGGGATATTGAGCACAAGAGTTGGCAGGTCATGTTACAGTTGTATAGGACTTTGGTTCAACCACATTTGGAATACTGCGTACAGTTCTGGTCGCCACATTACCAAAAAGATGTGGATGCTTTGGAGAGGGTGCAGAGGAAGTTCACCAGGATGTTGCCTGGTATGGAGGGCGCTAGCTATGAAGAGAGGTTGAGTAGGATTATTTACATTAGAAAGACAGAGGTTGAGGGGGTAACTGATTGAGGTCTACAAAATCATGAGAGGTATAGACAGGGTGGATAGCAAGAAGCTTTTACCCCCAGAGTGGGGGATTCAATTACTAGGGGTCACGATTTCAAGGTGAGAGGGGAAAAGTTTAAGGGAGATATGCACGGAAAGTTCTTTACGCAGAGGGTGGTGGGTGCCTGGAACGCGTTGCCAGCGGAGGTGGTAGAGGCGGGCATGATAGCATCATTTAAGATGTATCTAGACAGATACATGAATGGGCAGGGAGCAGAGGGATACAGATCCTTGGAAATTAGGCGACAGGTTTAGACAGAGGATCTGGATCGGCGCAGGCTTGGAGGGCCAAAGGGCCTGTTCCTGTGCTGTAATTTTCTTTGTTCTTATCTCCATTCTTTCATTAAAACTGGATGACTGTCCTGCTGGCACTTGAAGTAGTCCAATATTGCACGGACTGCCATCAGTTCAACAAATTAGTTTATCATCACTTTCCTAAAGACATCAGAAATGACTAAGAAATCAGAATGTGATTGCACCACAAAAATCTGAGGTTGGCCAAGCCTGACAAGGAAGCAGAGTGACTAAGCAAGGGCAATGAGTATGCACACATTGCAGCCTTTTCCATGACTGATCATTGGGACAGCAGCGTTGTCTGCAATAGCTGATGTGGGAATAAGTCCAAGTTTGGAATTTCAGGTACAGTCATGGAACAGCTTTGGGAACAGATATTACTCTGCCCTTACTACTGTTGGAGACGCCCTTATTTTTGATTCTTCACATCAACCTCCCCTAACAGGTCAAATGATTGGTGACAGGATGGATGAAACTGCCTCGGCAGTTGCAATACTGGCCATTAAAACCATCCCAGCAACTCCAAACACAAGTATGCTCCCTCTTACCCATACTGCCCCTTCAATCAGATTCTTTCCAATAAAGGAGCAGAGAGAGAGGGAGGAGGGGGAAGACAGGCTTCAAGTAGAGGAGCTGGAATGGCAGGATCTGTGATGGAAGGAGACATCTGTCATACTTAAAATATTTTCACCCAGCTGCTCAAATGTTTCATACGTAATTTACTAATAAAACACTTCTTGTTGGATGGGGGTCAACAACGAGGGAACAACTCAAAATACATTTAAAAGTCTCAATGACAAACAAAAACCCTGTGAAATCCCAAGAATTGCCCATTAGTGTTGCTGCTGGGGGTGACACTCACTCCATAAACAAATGAAAGATGTTGGAAATAGCGATAGAAGAGGCAATGGGGTAATTACAAGTTAAGGAGTCACAACAATGTTTAAAAACAAAGAGAACTGCCTGTCCAATAAACTGAGTCAACTCACGCAGAGCTGACGGGGAAGCTGGGAGTTGGTGCAAATTAAGTGTGGGTAGTGATTTGGATCAGTACAAGTTTGAGGTGCTGCAGGTGAGAAACCAGCCAGGAGATTGTGGACAAATAACCAAACAAACAGATTATAAAGATGTTCATTAGGGTTTCAGCAGAGCGAGGAGACAGGTGATGCTGAATTAGTGTAAACCAAATTTAAAGGATGGCACAGGGGCTCAGTGATTAGCACTGCTGCCTCACAGTGACAGGGGCCAGGATTCGACTCCACCCTCAGCCAACTGTGGATTTTGCACAGTCTCCCCCTGTCCGTGCGAGTTTCCTCCTGGTGGTCCAGTTTCCTCTCTCAGTCCAAAGATGTCCAGGGTAGGTGTATTGGCCATGCTAAATTGCCCATAGTGTCCAGGAATGTTTAGGTTAGTTGGGTTAGACATGGGGAAGTGCAGAAGTAGGGGAATGAGTCAGGGTGGGATGCTCTTCAGGTGGCAGTGTGGACTTGTTGGGCCAAATGGCCTGTTTCTACACTTAGGGAGTTCTATGCAATAGATATTTTTGGGGTGGAAGAAGGTTTGTAATGGAATCCCCCAGGGGACAGTATAGGGACACATACTTTTCCTGATTTATATTAATGACACAATTTGAAAGTTTGCAGCTGATGTAAAACTTGGTAGCATTGTGAACTGTGAGGAAGGTAGTGTAGAATTTCATTAGGACATTGACAATTTGGTGGCAGATGCAGTTCAATGCATAGAAAAGTGAAGTGAAGAACATGGAGGAGACAATATCAAATAAAGGGCACAATTCTAAAGCAGGAGCAGTGGGAATTGAATGCATATGTGTGTAAGTCATTGAAGGTTGTAGTACAGGGTGAGAGAGAGTGGTTAAGTAAAGAACACAATATCCTTGGTTTATTAAAAGGGATACATTGTAAGAGAGAAGGAGCTTATGTCAAACTTGGGTAGGATGCTAGTTTGGCCTCAACTAGAGTACTACATCCAGTTTTGGGCACTATACTTTAGGAAGGATGTGTAAACATTTGAGAGAGTGCAGAAGAGATTCATGAGAAGGTTTCTGAAATGAGGCACTTCAGTTATGAAGAGAGATTGGAGATGTTAGGACTGTTTACATTAGAGAAAAGAAAGCTGAGAGGAGGTTTGATTGAGGAATTCAAAATCATGATGGTTCTGGACAGAGCAGATAGGGGTTCCTCTCATGAAAGGATCAAGGCCAAGAAGGCATAGACTTATGGTAACTGATAAAGAAGCAAAAGTCACATAAGGAACTATTTTTTTCATGCAGCGAGTAGATAAGGTCCAAAATGCATTATCTGAAAGTGTAAGACAACTGCACTGCCTTCATTAACCCTCTGTGCTATCTCTTCAAAATCTTTAGTAAGTTGGTTACACAAGATTTTCCAATAAGAAGTCCATGCTGACTTCCTTTAACTCTGCAGTTGTCCATATGATTGTTAATTTTGTCCCATGTTAGTGTTTCTAGATGTTTCCCCACCACCAAAGTTAAGCTGACAGATCTGTAGGTTCAACTGGAACGTTAAAAAGGGCTCTAGGCTGTTACCTGAAAATAAAAAGAAATGCAGCTTTAGAAGGCCAAAGTGGGGAAATAGCACCAAGTGACAAATTGCCTATGTTCACAGGGTAACTACATTTTGAGAGAATGGAATCCCTTCCTGTTCCCATATAGGTCAGAGATGACACTTGCAAATTCATGTGTCTACAAAGATACCATGTACCACGGAGAAGCCTGTAAAACTTTATGTTTCCTGCATCTGCTTCTTGTTGACAAAAGGAAATAAAATGAAATTCACTTTCTTATTTGAATAGAGAACTCAGTGACGTTCCTGATGTGAAAATCGATTACAAACTTTTAACGTGCTAGAAACATCTCTAACTCCAGCCTGGAAGGATCCTCATGCATACAAGATAATAACTATAGTCATCATCATTGCAACTTGCAATGCAGTCTTTTACTGCAATGAGGTTGAGTTTTGACTGCAGCAGGCAACTGATGAGTTCCTTCATAACACGCAAGTGTCTCAAACATTGTTTCTTACTGAGGTTCGGGCACCAGAATTTTGCTATGAGTATATATGGCCTCCTACTGAAAGCCCTTCATTCTCCTCCACCATCTTCCATTTCCAGTAGCTGGTTGCATTATACAGGCCCTCTGTTTGTTCTCTCAGTTGTTTTGTAATCAAGGGGAATGCCTATCAGTGCACCCATGTCCAGGAGCAATTGGTCTATGCGATAACCACGAACTCAGCAAAACATACATCAACAGTACATTCCCCGCTAGTCATTTGACACTTAAAACAATTATGGAAAGCTTAAAAAAAATGTGTATAGTAGTGGTGAAAGCCAGAAAAAGTAAACTAGCAACTAAACCGTAAGCAGTTAATGATCACTTTAAAGAGCATTGCTAGGGGGATTTCAGGCTGCTTAATATGCCTATGGTTGTGCCAGGTTAAGAGAAAACATTGGCTGGCACATTGAGCTGCAAAGTAGCAGCATTGAAGCATGCTGATTGACAACTGATCTGCCTGCTCAGAAGATTGCAATAGATGTTGAGTACATGCATACAGTGACAGCTGGAGTGTGTTGCATCAATCTCATGCAGACTGTTGACACTATTGTGGATCCCAAATGGCAGTCATAATACCCAGAACAAACATTACTGAGCTCACTTTTATCCCATCAATTGTGTAGAAAGGGGTTGTGTTTATGCAAGCTAAGAATGTCACAACAGCGTCAACTTGAAATAGAATGGAATGATTGTTCTAACAAATATTAAGTTAACTCATTATTTACACCCCTTATGCAATTAGTTATGCAATAAAAAGTGAGTGATAAAAATATCCAATTCATGTACCATCCTTATTCATTGAATGTAATTTGTTGGAAGTAAAAATCCTTACTATTGATAATGGTGATTTCTCGTCCTTTGTAGTACTCTCCTAAGGTGACTGCAGAACCCTGACGGGAAGCCACAATTCGGACAGTACGACTGTTGTCTGCACAGTCTAGATATGGGTCCCACGTAGGACTCTGTTCTTTCTGGCTGATGACGTGTGCAGCTGTGCTGTGAATGCTGAAGGCATCTCTAGTACGGTCCTTGCAGTATGATTTAAAGCGCCACTGTACCACTGGTTGTTGGGCAGATGTAGTTGAATACTGACAATGTAGAACAACAGGCTGGAACAACATAGCTATTTTTTTCTGTTCTGAAATGGTCACTTGAACACCAAGGGATACACCTGCAAGTATAAGAAAAAATGAGGTAGCATGAACAAGACTTCAGTTTACTTCAAAAATAAATTTTCTTGTGTTCAAATTGGGTCACATCAATGATTCAAAATCTCATTTAATTCAGATTCTTGCAATCCAACTTCGATGGGCTGTTATGGTCCCATTATATTGTCACAAGGCTAACTAATGTAGCAAACACTATTAAATATTCATTTTGAATAAAATTCCTGCCAGACATTTTTATGAAATGATTTATCCTTTACTGGTTTATAATCGAACCCAGATGGTTTCAGGAATACCCCTTAGTTCTGGTTATAAATTTGGTTATACTGTATATACCTTTTTTGGGGTTCAGTTGTGTCAGTTATTCCCATAAAGAATCTGGATGATTTTTAAAAGGGTATTTACTCACATGGTCTTATACATGATTTGGGGGTTGGTTAGCTCAGCTGGCTGGACAGCTGGCTTGCAGTACAGAGTGACACCAACAATGTGGGATCAATTCCTGCACTGGTTGAGGTTACCATGAAGGATCCTCCTTCTCAACCTCTCCCCTCACTGAGGCATGGTCATCCTCAGGTTAAGCCACCAACAGTCATCTCTCTCCAATGAGAGAGCAGCGCTCTATGGTGCAGTAGGACAACGGAGACTTTAGTAGTAGATTAATCTGGCTGTGACTATTAATACCTCACTTGTGACCTATACTGGATATTAACAATTTCCATATATGCCGTATGCCTGATACAAATTAATAAGCTGCTTTAGTTCACAGTGAGATAGGTAGGTGGAACAATAGTTATGATCAAACTCACTTGACTCAGTTATTATAATTTATCCACTCATGACACAAAATGCAAAATTTGGGTTTCCCACAATAACGATTTAAACAAAATATCTTCTAACTAGCATTTCCAAACTCCTTGTCTTAAAAAGTTTAGCTTTAATAAAATCTTACTATGGTCATGGCCTTCCTGGATCATCAACCTTCCTTTCTGATCCTATGCCTTCTCAAAAACCTGACATGGTGGCCTTTTATTGTCACCATTTAGATTTAAATCATCAGGCAACCCAAATATTAACTAATAGTTGTTATGTACTGAAATATTTCCAAGACTTGACTTTACTTCTGTAGCAACTCAACGGCCCTGAAAAGTTAAAAGTGAGCAACTTCAAAAGTTGTTGTTTTGGACAGAAAAATAATGGCCTGAACCTCTCTGTCATTGTAAAGATGACTCTGGAGGCCTCGATCCTGACATCACCCTCATCCCCAGGTGAACACAATACTTTGTTTTCAGAGGAGTGGGCAGTAATGAGAACAGGATAGCTTTTACATTGCTGTTTTATATGTAGAATGCAACTGCCTCTGTCATGTTTGATTTTTATTATCAAGAAATGTCTAGTAGGAACTGATCAAACATTTGAGAATTTGCTTAGCTACTTAAGATACCACTTTGGAGAAAGGTACACTTCTGCATGTATTTCTGGATTTTCAATTCTAACTTCATTGATGAATACTGTACATACTAATTTATTACAAAGTGAAAATTATCTAGTACACTGGCATCATCTTGCACCCGATATAGATTTATTAGTATACCAACTGATCTGAAAACACATTTGCAAAACTACATTAAAAAGAATCTTCTATTCAAATGTGTTAATTTTTCAGCTTTCTATAGCAACCCTTTCAGCACATATATAATTCAACAAAATAACTTTCTAATATAGGCACCTTATTGTGAAGCAGTATGTCATAATACAGTTCTGTAGAGGTGTTCAACTGGTTGCCTTTAACAGAAATTCAATAGCAAATGGAAAGAAACGGAAAACAAAACTAATGTTCCGAATGGACTTGTTTCCATCCGAGCTTGTTGTATATTGAATAACTTTAAAAGACTTTTTGCTATTTTGTCATATGGTTTTTTAAAAAAAGATCAAATCATTAGTAGAATTACAGAGTACTGTATAAAGTCATATTTGCACTGTAGTTCTAATTTTAGACTCATTTAAAACAAATATTTTGGCATTTTGTGATGTCTGAAAATTGCAACATATGCAATTGTCTTTATAAAGTTCAATCCCCCACATGTTACTTAGGAATTTCCATATTAATTACTAACATGTTGAAGAATTCAATATTTTTCTGTATTTTCTTTCAGCCACTTGGAAGAGGATTTCATCTGTGTAACAAAAACGTATTCCAACTTTCTGTGTTATTGGTTTATGATCCATTTAAAAATAATACAAAGGAATTGCTCCCGCTCAACCAGAAGTGTAGCATTGACTAAATAAAATGCCTTAATCTAAGTTTTAGAAAGTTACTGTGACAAAATTGTATTTTGCCTGTGTTGCCCTGAGCTGAGATTTTTACGTTTTTATTTTTCGCAACAATAAGTCAGCAGATTTAAAATCACACTCTTCCTAATTTACATTCTAGCACAATGGTAAAAGAAAGAAGTTATATATTATCATTGGTATTTTACACCATTGTGATAAGTTGCATTTTTTTTGTACCATCCAAGTACATGGATATTATAATGCTTGATTCAGATCACAAGACCACAAGATGTAGGAGCAGAAGCAGGCCATTCAGCCCATCAAGATCTGCTCTACAATTCAACGAGATCATGGCTAATCTGATATTCCTCAACTTTAATTTCCTGTCTTTTCCCTATAAGCCTGGATTCCCTTACTGATGATTAATCTCTCTTAACAACCAAGCCTGAACAGCCCTCTGCTTTTATTCACTTTGAAGAAAGCTTAGCTAAGGCTGATAATGAGGTGCCTTATGCTCACATACCAAAGGCTTGCTTGATAGGTTCTTGAACTTTACTAACTCAGTATTATTTATTTTTCCTACAAGACCCAAAGTGGCAAAAAAGGTCAGTGAAGTTCAGCAGTATGTTACCAAAACCACAAGTTTAGAGTTTCAGTTGAGAACTAGACAAGATACAGATGGAGTTAAAAAAAAATGTTGCAGAAGTGGAAGTATGTAATATTAGTAATAAATAAAATACAGGTTTTAACTTACAACTTGAAGTTGAAGTTGAACAGGCCAATAAAATTGCATACCATTTCGAATGACTTCAGCAGTTCTGGAAAGGGGACGGAGCCAGAGCCAAAAGTACAGAGATTTTAACAGGGGCTGAATAAAATTTGGGTTTTCTTCAATATTCTACAAGAATAAATTATATAGTACCTATAATTTAATTACAGAAAAACAAATAAATAAATAAATAAATATAGGCATGGAACAGATAGTCAGAATGGAACAGTAGAGCTGAGTTTCATCAGCATAACTGCGAATCCAGCCCTGTCATTCAACTTGCAAGTTGAGCCAGTGATTATTTGTCTAGACTATTTGAATATAATCCATAACGTTTCAATTAGAATATCATACACCATCATGTTCCATTAACGCATTTCTTTTAGTCTATAATTTTAGATAACCTACATAAAAGCAATAATTTTTGTGCTTATGTTTTTTAATGTAAAAAAGACATCATTTTAATAAAGTTTTGCTCATCATGGTATTACAACTTAAGTTGTAAGAAAATGTAGGAACAGAAGCATTTTTTAAAATATTGAATTATGTAGATCAATTGTTTTAACTGGAGAGTTCAATTCCTTTGTTCACTTTGAACTTAAGATGTGGGAGACATGGCAGGATTACAAAACAGCATTTCCTCATCACGTACTTCCTAAAAGGTCACAATGGTATCCTTAGAAACAAAGCTTGTGGCCTTTTTTATATGATACATAGTGGAGGTCATTTTCATCTCAAACTACATACCTCCAGGAATTTTAAGCTTTTGTGGAACTCTGCACTAAGATAATAAAAAAGACTAAACTGTAATTGCTTTGAATTTTATTAACTGTAGTTAATAAAAAAAAGTGAAAATGACAACATGGCTCTGAACATTACTATGATTTTGCTGAACAAATATATTGGAGAACATTTTTGCTGATCTGTACTTCTTCACGAGAGGATGCATATATTTAAAAAGTTGCAAAAAGCAATCAGCTTGAAAATTATTGTTGCAGTTGCCACAGAACAACAATAGCCCATTGTAAAACCTGATGTTAAAACGTATTAGTAAGTAGCATATTGGAAGTTCTTGGTCAAAACTGATAAAGGAGGTAAATGAATTGTAATATTTGGTCACAGTGTGTTAAAAGGCTAAAATGAATTACAAATCTTTTGACATGATTCTACTTATTAACAAAACTTATTACCTCCAGTTGCCAGTTTTCCTAGGAAGCCCTATTTTTTTCTGTTTCTTTATTTGAAGGCTATGGGCGGAATCTTTCCAGTCCTTGAACAACAAGGGCAATGGCGAGTCAGTTGAGAAATTATGGCGAGAATGGGAAATTAGATTCTTGGCATCAAGAGAAAGAAGACTGATTTCCACTCAAGGTTTAAACAGCATGACATGAACCTCACCAGTGAGCATCGAGAGGCCCATTTGCATACATTTACATATTGTTATAAGCTTTTCTCGGCTCATTTATATGCAGTTCACTATTCTCCCATGTGACAGACAGTAACCAGACAATGACAATCGCCAGTATGAAAGTCAGAGCAGGTACCTGGTACTTCCAGCTCATTTGCTCTCCCAGGCCTCCACTGTGACCAGCAGTCTCCAGGATCTCAGGGCACGCTTCTGGACAGTGACTGACGACACCCCTTATCCGTGGAGGTTGGCATCAGACATGCACTAGCCTCAACATAGTATCATGGTACCTCTTTGATTCACTTAGAAAAACAGTTACCCACCAGTACCAAGTGCAACATCTTCCATTGCAACACCCGCTTTGGAGCAGCCTGCGCCTCGGGGCTCTTTGCATGCTCTCTCACTCACTTCGCATCTACTTGGATGCTCACAGCGTCTCTGCCATGCTTTGCCTTTGGCACTTTGCCACCTCATTCAGAGCTGAGAGGCTTACAGTATTTCTATCTTGCCTTGCCTTTTAGTACAGGCACAAACCCAGGCTGCTTGTCATGATT